ACCGATTTGCTCTTCAAATATCTGGAGATCGCTCTCATATCACCTATTAATTGACTCTCCTCCAGGCTAAACACACTCAACACCCTCGCCATATCCTTGCTGGATGGTTTCTGGGCCTCTCAACACCTCTGTTGTCCTCCTTTGGGCATGTTCCAAAAATTCACCCATTCCCTCTCTATAGAGATTTGAGTTCTAGACACCCTGGGGGAAGGAATCCTAAAGAATGACTCCAGCATCTCACATGAATGAAAATGTCCACAGACATTTTGTCTCATTGGGCCAAAACTAGGGAGAGAGATTGACCGGGGACAGGGATTAAGAAATACAGATTGTTGGTGAATACAGTCTCCATTCTTCCAAATTATGGAAGAGGCAGGGCTAATCTGGCATCTGATAGCCTCCAGGTGGTAAAAGAGGCTTGAAAAGAAAAGCAGGACTGGTGGGCAGCCCTGTGCAAATCCACAACCACCAAGAGCAGGCATAGGTCAACTCGGCCCTCCAGATGTTTTGGAACTACAACTCCCATCATCCCTAGCTAACAGGACCAGTGGTCAGAGATGATGGGAACTGTAGTCTCAAAACATCCGGAGGGCCAAGTTTGCCTATGCCTGACCAAGAGTGATGAGGTTTCCCACAGTTCCCAGGGCCCCCAGATGCACTGCATGGCCAATGAGATGAAGCAGCAGTCAGATACTGAGCCTTAGCAGAGACCAAAGGCTGATGGCCCCCCTTGCCTGCTCTGGGAAGTACTATGAAGTTGGGTGTTGATGGACGATCCTATTTGCCATGAACACTGTGGCAATGCTACTGCTGCTGTGGCACATGATGATGGGATTTGCATACATGTTTGTATGCTTCCAAAATGGACGCTAAAGTGCCTTTGCTACTTGCAGGTCTTAACCCTTCAGCAGAGCTGGTTTGCTTGCCCTGGTGTGCATCCGGACACTACTTAAGATCGTCCATGCAAAGTCTGCCCAGCTGCAGCAGCCCAGAGGTGTTACCAGAGAAGTGGAAGGAGAAGTGAGCTCATCAAAGCAGCACTTGGAGCCCCAACTGAGAGCTCTGACCCCAAAGTGGCACCTGAGCAGGGGCTGCTGAGCCTGGAAGGGAGCCATGCAAGCCTGTGAAGGGCCCTGAAGCAGCTCTGCCCTGCTGATGCCATTTAAGATGTCCAAACAACAAATTTGAACACATTTGGTTTTAATGATGATAAAGATCTATGCTCCAGGTCCCTAAATGCTCCTTCACTTTGCCCAGCCTGGTGGAGAGGTTGAATACGGCTCCCATTATACCGGCTGTTTGAAGAGAGCTTGTTGATTGTGAGAGTCACTCTCTTCATTGCTGTCTGGCCCTTCTGCCTTTTCAGGTCATCCGTCCCCTCTGCAACAGGCATGCAAGAGGAGCCATGGATCAGCTTGTCTAACTGCCTCCCCTGAAGCGGGTGGTACTTAACTTCTTCTGAAATGAGCTAGGAGTCAGGGGTGAGCAGTGAGAGACCCATGTTTGCTGATGATGAGTCCAAATTATTCTGGGTGGTGAAGTCCCAAAAGGTCCTCGAATGAAATGGAATGTGAATTTATTGCGAGCTAGTGAACATCCAGGCATGATGGGAATTTCAGTATGTGGTGAGAATCCCTGTATGTTGGTCATAATATACAATTAGAAGACTGGGAAAGATTATGGAAAGAGGGAATAAATGTCACGCCTGCAGTGCTTTAAAGGAAAATATAATGAAAATGATGTATAGATGGTACATAACACCAGTTAAATTAGCTAAAATGTATAAAATAAATAAAAATGTTGGAAATGTAAGGAAAAAGAAGGTACTTTTTACCATATGTGGTGGGAATGTAAGAAAGTGAAGAACTTCTGGGAAATGATTTATAATGAGACTTTAAAAATGTTGAAATATACATTTGTAAAAACAACCCAGAAGCCCTTTTACTTGGTATTGTGGGTACAGAGATTCATAAGCATCATAAAAAAACGTTTTTATATGTGACAACTGCATCAAGAATACTATTAGCCCAACGATGGAAGCAGGAAGAATTACCATCAGAAGAAGGGTGTCAGATGAAATTGATGGACTATGCTGAGCTGGCGAAATTAACTGGGAAAAATCAGAACCAGCAAGACCAGAGTTTCCTGAAGGACTGGAAGAAATTCACGATATATTTGAAAGACAATTGTAATCAATTGACATCGCTTGGAGGGTTACAAGAAGTTTTGTAAGAAGAACTACTGTATATGAATTATTGCAAAAGAGGACTAAGAAGGAGTTTATTTAGAATTTGGATTTTACAGCAATAAAATAAAATGCAAAATTAGAAAGGAAGATAGAAAACCATCAGCTGAGGTTGATGGAAGTCCTAGGCTGTGATAGCCAAAGGTCTGTTATGTTGTTTAAGATGGGATGTTATGCTTGGAAAATGTGTAAAAACCAATGAAAATTATATTTTAAAAAGAGAGAGAGAATCCCTATATGTTGTTCATGGACTCTGCATTGGATCCAGTCATCCAGGAGAGCAATCTCCAGCTTATAGGAGCAAGCCCACATCAACCCAGGGTGCTCTAGCCATGAAAAAGGCAAATAAACCCAACTGGGTCGACCTAAGAGGAATCTGGCTTGAATGTAAAACCACCCAGTATGGTACTTGGAATACTCAGTTAGAATACTGTGCACTGTTTGTGTCATCCTGTGTCCAAAAGGGCATCCCAGAGCTGGAGTAGGAACCATGAAAGGATCATGACATCAGGTGGGGGTGAAGCATTTCAGAAGATATGTGAAGGGAATCTGGAGCCTGATTGCTGTATCAGGTGCTGTATCAGGCATCCTGTTCTCAAAGTGATTGAATCATAGGATCGTAGAATTGTAGAGTTGGAAGGGACCCTGGGGATCATCTAGTCCAGGGATGTCCAACTGGTTGACCGCGATTGTCAATTGACCTGGGTGTTAGCAGGCGATCATGGGCTCATTTTCCTCTGCGGGGGAAAGAGAACATCCGGCCCTATGCCCTCGCTCCTTCCTTCATTTGCGCACAATTGCAATAATGGAAGACGGATTTATCACTGCACTGATTATTGTTTTGCTGTAAATCCTGCCCCTCTTAAAAAAGCCTTTTAGAAAGTCTGCCCTTTGTCAATGAGTTACGAAGTCAAGGGGAGCACAACATCTGTGTTCTATAAATCCCACTCAGCTGAAAGAGCAGTATGCCTTGGTTAAGTCTTTCCATTAAAATAATATTAATATTAATTATAATAATTATAATTTTATTTTGTAAAACAAACAGTTGTCTGAAGCTTGTGATAGCTCATTTGGTTCACCATGAGACTCTTAATCTCAGGATTCCAACCCCACGTCAGGCAAAAGATTCCTGCCCCCCTAAAAAAGCTCTAAAACTTTGGGACCCCCCCAAAATGGGTAGACCAGTGCCATTTTTTTATTATGGGAGTAGATTGCAGTCTCTCGGGAGTTGGACATCGCTGACCCCCTGCAATGCAGGAATATGCAGCTGTCCCATACAGGGATCAAACTTGCAACCTTGGCATTATCAGTTCCATGTTCTAACCAACTAAGCTACCCAGATACCAGTGGAAAGCCCACAAGCAGGTCAACAGCAACTCTCCCCTCCTGCAGTTTCCTGCAACTGGTATTGAGAAGTATAGTGCTTGTGACAGTGGAGGTGGAACCTAGCCTTCGTGGCTAGCAGCCATCAATATTCTTATTCTCCATGAATTTGTTCGATTCTCTTTTAAAGCCCTGCAAGTTGGTGACCATTGCTCTCTATTGCAGGAGCAGATTCTGAACCAAAAAGAAGACAGTTTGTGTACTAAGCGTAAACAGTTGCAATGGCTGAGACTTGCATAAAGAAGCAACCTTTTGCAAATTTATTCCGATGCCATTGGAAGGATTTTCTTTCCTTAAAAGGAGGGCTGCACAGGTCAAGAGTGACAGGAAGAATTCTACAAGGCCCAAGATCTCTGCCTCCAGACCCTAGGCAGCTCCCCACCCTCACTGCTCTATTCTCTCCAACTGACACAATCCAGTTATCTCTGATAGACAAGGATAGAGACCCAAGAAGACTTGATGACTGCTCTTTTGCTGCTTTGCTTTCCGGAAGGTGCCAGACACCTAAGAGCGGCTAATTAACCTTGAGGTTTAAGGAGGAGGGTGTTTTGTTTGTTTGTTTGACTCTGGTTGAAGATTACTGTAAAATTTTAATTAAGTTATGCAAATGAGTTCCTCACTTAGGGATGATAATAAGGTGTCTGGTGGTTGTCTGTGTTTACGAGTAAGCACACACAAGAAGCACACACACACACACACACATATGCGCCATTGCCTACCCCTTTGCAGTCATGTTGTGATGTGTGCACCTGCCCCATCATGGCACCCAGATGTGCCACCTTGCATGTGCAGGGGACACACAAACACAGCACAGGCACAGATCCTACAGACAAGGCTCTCAAATGGTCTACATAGGCAAGATACACATTGGACATACTCCACACAGCAGGTTGCTGTGCAAGCCCCATCAAAATGTTGTGCATGGGATTCACAAACCCACTGATTGATAAGCAACATATGCAACCATATTTTGTTTGGTTTTCCTTCCCTCTGTAGCCTGCAGCTGAGCTCAACTGCTTGATTCATCTGGATAAGTCTCCCCTTCTTTTCCAAAAGGCAAAAGTTATTTTGGCATGGTTTAATTGTGGAATCTGCTATGGGATGTGGAGATGGGCCCTAGCATAAATGACCTTCTAAATGCTTTGATACATTCCTGGAAAATGAGTCTATCGGTGATCATGAGCAATGGTAGCTAGTGATGGAACCTCCATATTCAGGCAGAGCATACCGTTGGCAGCGAGGTAGTGGGGCTGTGCAGCAGGGGGCACCTTTTGGAACCTAGTGTGTCAAAGAACTCTAGTTCAAAATTACCTATACACTAACAGGCAATTGATTTCCAGGATTTCAGACAAGGGTTTTGCCCAGCCCTACCTGAAGATGTTGGTAACTGAACCTCACACCTTCTGCATACAAAGTAGATGCTCTACCACTGAGCTACAGCTCTTTCCCAAAGTTTCCCTGAGGGGCACCTGGCTGGATATTTCTGGAGGCAGGTGTTGGACTGAAAGATGCCCCTCCTTAGTCCAATCCAAGCTTGGAGGTATGCATATGGGGGAGAACTAACTCTCCCTTCCTCTGTGGGTGCAAAAATACTCAGCTCCCCTCTAGTGTTAAGCCCTTAGAAAGTGCTTTTCACACTACTCTGATTTCAGCCTCTAGTTCAGGCATAGGCAAACTCGGCCCTCCAGATGTTTTGAGGCTATAATTCCCATTTTGAGGCTATAATTCCCATTATCCCCTGTCAGCTAGGGATGATGGGAGTTGTAGTCCCAAAACATCTTGGAGGGCTGAGTTTGCCTATGCCTGCTCTAGTTTCAGTCCAGCACTGGAGAGTCTGCCCAGCTGAGCTCCGAGTTCCTTACATGCCTCATAGAGAACCTTGAGCTGAGATAGCTCAGTCGCTAGAGCATGAGACTCTTAATCTCAGGGTGGTGGGTTCAAGTCCCACACTGGGTGAAATATTCCTGCATTGCAGGAGGTTGGACTAGATGGCCATTGTGGTCCCTTCCAACTCTACAGTTCTGTGTGGTTCAATACCTTGGCTGCCCCCAACACACACACACACACACACACACACACACACACACACATAGTGTGATTAGGTTGTTTCCCCCCCACATCCTGGGATCATCCAGGCTCTCTGGAGTGAGATGTTTGATAAGCCCCAGGATACGTATTGCTCACCAGGTTAGTGGTTAACCATAGTTTCTTGTGCCTGGGAAATGCATTGTAAGGCACGTGCCAACTTGATCCTTCCACTCTAGCCTGAGCTCCGGAGGAGACCCCAGATTCATTCCTGCCCTCCGGTGCGCTGTAACTTTAAAAGAAAGAACGAAAGGGGGTATTTTATTTCCGCACAAAACTATCCACTTTAAATACCCTTTTTATTACATTATCTGCATAGTAATACTAATAATAGATCTTGCTGACAGTTCTAATGAGGCTGGAGAATATAAGGTTTCCAATAAAGTTAATTGTTGCCTTTAATATTCTCATACATTTATACATGGTAAATCTTTAAAGGAAAAAAACACTCATTTCTCTCCTATTAAAGATTCAGGAGCAGCCCAGTCAGTGTCTGGTGCAGAAAATGCAAGCAATTGCTTTTTCTAGAGTCTGGGTGCAAATCATGAATTACACACCATCAAGAAACTGGGAGTGCTGGTCCTTTAGACATCATGAAACAGGCTGCATTTGTGGACCAGCTGTCCCCTGCCCCACCCCCAAAGGAATAAAGGAGAGTGCTGATACACTATGCCAGTTGACAGGCAAGGCAACATTTGTTAAATGATAATCATATGGACTAGTAGCTTTGGAAGGAAAGTACTTAGGTAAGAGAACTGTGACATGACCGGGCAAGCTGGCAGAGATAGTAGTGAGGAAGGCAGAGCCCTGGGCCTTAATGGGCTGAAATTGGGGGAGGCCAAAAGCAGGAGGAGCTTATTCCTGTTTCTCAGAATGAATCTCAAAGTTGTTGAGCTGCACTTCAAATTGGAGGACCCAGGTTGAATGAAATGGAACCCTAGGATGTTGCGTTATGTGAAGAATGTGGAAACAGTCCATAAGCGTTCGTTCTGAATACTGAAACAGAGTTACCGCATGGCACAATGGGTCAGTGCACCTGACTGTTAACCAAAAGGTTGGTGGTTCAAGCCCACCCAGGGATAGCTGTGGGCAGGATTTCCTACATTGCAGGGGATTAGACTAGATAACCCTTGGGGTCCCTTCCAACACTACAATTCTATAATTCTATACTACCTCTGATACTGGAGGTAGTAAACAGTCATCATAACTAGTAGCCCAACTCTTTCCCTTGGTTTGCCACCAGCAATGCCACACACTGAATCTGGGCCTTTCTGAAGGTCTCCGTGGGGACTGGTGGTAGTTATTCAGTAGTGAAGCAACTGTGCTGTGCTCATATTATTTATGTGTTTACTGTATTTCTTAATCTTGCTTTTAGACAATTACTGTATCTCAAAACATCTGAGAGAGCGAGAGAGAGAGGGAGGGAGGGAGGGAGGGAGGGAGAGATGTGCTGCTGGCAAACTTGCAAACCTAAAGGATGAGATACACAAGGAAAGAGGAGTGGTGGGAGAAGGAAGCTCAGTTCTTCAGTGTGGTGCACCATCTGCAGGCATTTGGGGCCAAGCTGGTTTTCCCTTGCTGGTTTTCTTTCTCAAATAGCAACGGGTGACTCTTGGTCAATGAATGGGGCCAATTTGACTTTCTTCCCTGCTTCTGCACTCCCAGACTAAGTGGCAGTCAGACCTGAGTCCTCCTGCAGGCGATGGGAAGCAGACTTTCTGCAGCTTCTTCTTCTCTGGGTTGGGCCAAGCTGATCTCCCTTGCATGCTGTGATTTTCTTTCTGGCAGGCGGGGGCTGCAAACTCCCAGTGGCCTTTATCCCCCTCCAGTCAATCCCAGAGATCAAAGGGTACTTCCCCTAGTTTCTGCAATCCTGAGGAAACAAGCAACTAGAACAGAGTGTTCTTCCTTCAGGCAGTGGCAGGAGTGGAAGGAGAGAACCAGTTTGCTGCACCTGCTCCTTCTCTGCCTGATGCATGGACCAAGGTTGGTTGCTCCCAGATGTCCTGTTATGTGGGAAGCTCCAAGGCAGCAGTCAAGGGACCTTGTCAAGATGTGCTAAGCTCACCCCATAGGTCTGTCTGAACCATGGCCCTCTGCAGAAGCAGCTGGTGGACTCCTTCAGCCAATGAGAAGCTGTTCTTTCACCATTGTTTCCCTTCTCCTAGTCACCCTCCCCAATCCCTGTCTTTGAAGCCCTCTGGTAATTTATTCAGGAAGCCCCTGATTGGCTGTGCCCAGATTTATAGCGGCTGGTTGGATAATTAAGCGTGCTTTATGCAGACAAACTGTTTTCCGCAATCTAATTGCTGATTCCCTATAAATAATGCAAGCAGGGGAGGGGGAGGGGAGGGGAATTATTACACTCAGGACATTGCCCGCCTCCTCATAATTTGCTTAACAGAAATAAGCTCGTCCATCATTTGCAATGATTTCCTTTAAGACCATATACACGGCTGCTCTTTACAGGCTGGGAACCCGGCGCAGCACACTGTGATTGCAAATTTAATTAAATTATTTGGATTGTTTGTCCACTGCACACGAAGTCACTCCCAGGCAGAGTCCTGGAGCAGCAAGATGGGGTGGCTTAAAGACTGGGGGAGGGGTGTAGAAAGAATCCATTGGAAAGAGTGGGTTGTCCGTATTGCTAATAATTATTAGCACAATAACATATTGTGCTTTTCCCAATGCCTTCCAAATGATCCCGAAGCTCGTTAGAGAGCTTTCTCTGTGGCATCCCCTAAAGTGTGAAACTCCCTCCCTACAGAGTTGCATCTAGCATCTTCATTATACAGCTTTTGTTGCAGGCTGAAGATACACCTCTTTCCATGGCCTTTATCAATTAAGGTTGGTTCCCCTCCCCGCCATGAGACCCACCTCTTCTGTGCCATTTTTCCCTGTAATTGATTTACCTGATTTTGTAACTGTATATAGATGCTTTTTCATCTTTTACTTGTTTTTACTTGTATGGTTATATTGCTGTAACCTGCCCTGGGATTCTATGGTGAATGGTGGTTGCTACTCCTCCCCACTCACCTTGCCATATTCTGAGCCATCTCTCAGTTCAGTGGGACTTCTTGGGCTCTGTTATTCCAGGTATGGGCACTATTAGACCACCATCCAAAGACATTTGAGATGTTAGAAGACCATGGGAGGTGCTCTTTAGTGCCAAAGGTTCTGGGCTTTGAATTTTGACTCTTGAAGGCTGAGGCTGGGACCTGGCCATGACTGCTGCTTGGGAATGGGTGCTCAGTATGGGGCGGTGTTGTTGTTTGGGGGTGTTGTTGATGTTGGGGTTTTTTGTATCTTTATTTTAGATCTTGTGATTTATGTGGAAATTGTTCACTTTGGTTGTGTGTTTTTTGATGCTTTATTTACTGTTTATGACTATTTTTGTTATGTTGCAGTTATGTATTTTTTCAAGTTGTAAGCTACCTTGAGCTTGATATGAACTATGGGAAGGTGGCATACAAATAAAATTACATATGTATGTATGGATGTATGTATGTCTCAACTCTCAGAGGCTTTGTCACCCCACCCCCCACAAGTGTGGAGAACACACTTAAATGGGTGTGTGACACAGAAGCACTAAAGTCTTCTGCCCATGCTGGTACAGAGGTGTAGAATTTGCTGCTATTCCAGCATCTGCTTCCAACACAGGGCCCACAACTGAATTCGGGAACCTTTGGATAAATGATGAAGACTCTTTCCAGACCTGTTTTTGAATATGACTACCCTCTGGCCCTGGCCTGGCCCAGCCATTGAAGCCTGCTGAAGGGAAGTCAAAGGAAGATTTAATGAGAAGCAACCAGACCTTTTGTATGGATGGACAATTATTTATTATTACATTTGCTATTGCAATAAGCAGTCCCTGCCCACTCATGTAGAGAATAGAATGCATGAGAATGGAGGAAGGAAGGAAGGAAGGAAGGAAGGAGGAAGGGAGGAAGGGAGAAAGGAAGGAAAAGAAGCCATGTTCCATTGCATTCTGCGGGCCGTGCCAGAATTGTATGCTAGACAAAGAGCTTCCCCACTGTGCTGGGTATCCATGGCCATATGGAAGCAGAGATTCTTCAAACAACACCATACTTCGCTCTTCCTGTCAGCTGAAAGAAACATATTTTGGTGCAAAGCAAAACAGGACCTCAGGCACTAACCGCAACACATCGGAGGCATTGCTAGGTCCTTAAAAGACTTGTGCGGGGAGAGGGGAAAGGTCTATGACCTACATTTGCATAACATTTGCATCTGTTAATATATATGCATAAATCAAAAATTAGGCTGACTTTCAAAGGGAAAGCCTCATTGTGGGTAAAGTTAAAAAGAGGAGAAATCAAATTAAAGAGGAAGTGTGCTTATTCTGCAAGAATTCTTCTTTAATTTGTATGCTTTATTCTGAGATGGTTTGGGGGCAGGATTTAGACCTTGGAGCACAGAGCAGTGCAGGAACAGGGCATAGGGATCCGAGGGGCAGTTGAAGAAGATGCACGGAGGCCGTAAGTGTGGGATTGTATGAGTTTTATTCCCTAAACCAGGGATGGGAAATGTGTGGCCCATGAGATGTTGCCAGACTACAACTCCCACCATCCCTGACCATGCTGGCTGGGACTGATGGGAGCTGAAGTCCATCAACACCTGGAGGGCCACATGTTCTCCATGGCTGCCCTAAAAAGTGGAGCTTTTCAAAATGACCACAGGCATCTTTTAAAATGGATCTGTAAGCATGAGAGAAAGGACTAAGAGCAAGAGGTCTGGAACACCCTCCCACTCCAACACACATAGAAATATGATACCATTTGGGGCCATTTAGGGTTTTTTGTGGGGAGGCAAATAAAAAGAGATCATTGTAGAGATGAATAAACTGACACATGGTGTGTAGAGATTGGACAGTGAGACGTTTTTGTCATTCTCACGTTATACTAGAACAGGCATCCCCAAACTTGGTGCTCCACCAGTTTTGCAACTACAGTTCCCATCATCTCTGACCACTGGTCCTGTTAGCTAGGAATGATGGGAGTTGTAGTCCCAAAACAGCTGGAGGGCCAAGTTTTGGGATGCCTATACTAGAACCTGAGTGAGGCCACCTAATAAAGATGAATATTGGAAGATTCAGGGCACGCAAAGGAGATACTTCTCCACACAGCATATAGTTATACTAAGGTGATGGCCAACTTGGATGGCTTGAAGGGGGGATTAGACAAATTCATGGAGGATGAGGTTAGGATGTACCATGGTGGCTGGTTGTATGAACCATGGTCAACACATTCATAGTCACATTCACGTCAGGAACTGTGATGGCTCTATACCAGGGTTTCCTAAACTTGGGGTCTCCAGCTGGTTTTGGACTACAGTTCCCACCATCCCTGACCACTGGTCCTGCTAGCTAGGGATGGTGGGAGTTGTAGTCCAGAAACTGCTGGAGACTCAAGTTTGGGAAACACTGTCCTAGAGGGTCAGAGCTCTATACAGTCTCCAGGATGATGCCTCTGAATACCAATGGCTAAGAATCACAAGTGGGGAAAGCGCTGTGGTTCCTTCTCAGGTCCTACCTCTGGGCTGCCCAAGAGGCTTCTGGTCAGCCCCTGGGAGAAGCAGGAGGCTGGACTAGATGGGCCCCCTCTGGCCTGATCCAGATGCCTGTTCTGATGTGACACTTATCTTTAAATGGAAGCAAATAATCTCAGGAATCCATACGGCGGGGACAGATTCTGTGTGAAATATTGTGGAACGTGGAACTGCCAAAGTCAGACATTCAGATGTATTCCTAATGAATCTGGCCAGGCTCTCTCCACCGTTCCATCCGTGTTTCCTGTGACTCTTCCAAACTCTGTGAGTTGTCTATTCATCGCATCAGTTTCATCCATTGGCATTATTTTGCATGCTTAACTGCAGCCATCAAGCACTGCCTTGTTTAAAGGGAAGACACTGTCATGAATCCAATATAACAGAACATTTTTTCTTTCCTTATCACATACCGAGCTCAATCCTTTTGTAAAGCGACAAGCATATGTGATAAAGAAAAATGGTCTGTGATAGCAGATCTGTGTTGTTGGCTTCACACAAGCAAGTGATTCCACTTTAA